AGTAGTAGTAGTAGTAGTAGTAGTAGTAGTAGTAGTAGTAGTAGTAGTAGTAGTAGTAGTAGTACGTAGTAGTAGTAGTAGTAGTAGTAGTAGTCGTAGTAGTAGTAGTAGTAGTAGCAGTAGTAGTAGTAGTAGTAGTAGTAGTAGTAGTAGGTGGTGGTAGTAGTAGTAGTAGTAACTGTAGTTGTAGTCGTAGTCGTGGTCGTGGTCGTAGTCGCAGTAGTAGGTATGGATTCCGATGGATTCGCAAAAATTCCTAAGGATTCCCGAAGGAATCCAGAGGAATCCTGGGGAATTCCGAAGGATCCTAACGAATCAGAAGGATCCTGAGGGTTCCTGAAGGAATCCGGAGGAATCTTGAGGAATTCCGAAGAATCCTAGGGAATCGTAAGGATCCTGAGGATCCCCGAAAGAATCCGCAGAAATCCTGAGGATCCCCGAAAGAATCCGGAGGAATCCTGAGGAATTCCGAAGAATCCGAAGGAATCCTGAGGAATTTCGAAGAATCCGAAGGAATCCGGAGGAATTCCGAAGACCCCATCCATGATTGTAATTGGTTTCCTTTCTGGTTGGAATTGGTCTCATTTCTGGTTGCAATTCGCTCCGAACGGTTGGAATTGGGACAAGTCGGTTGCAATTCGATCCATTTCGGGTTGGACCCCCCCCCTTTAAGGGGGGAGGGGGGTGGGTGGGTTCGGAAATCTCACCCCCCCTTTGAAGGGGGGGGGGTTCTGCATACCCCGCCCCCTTTTGTGTATTCAGGGCTATCCACTGGCGCGTTTTCCTTGTTCAACAACGAATGCGCGCGGCGCTAAGGCGAGAGCCACACTTTGAAAACGACTCGCCCTCAACCCGTGAAGCTCGTAGACGAACGTGCGCGGCGCTACTGCAAGAACCGCATGTTGAAAACCAACCGCCCCCAATCCGAGAAACTCTTCCGAATGTTTAGAGCACATGTTGGCGAGAGCCACGTTTTGAAAACCACCCGCCCTCCATCTGTTGCCAATGTTTAAGCTTCAGAATCATAATTTGTGAGGAAATCTCAAAAGCGGCCCGCCCGGCCCGCCCTAAAAACTGGCCTCGGGGTGCGACACGGAGAAGTTATGTATAAGGAGGAGGAGGAGGAGGAGGAGGCGGAGGCGGAGGCGGAGGCGGAGGAGGAGGAGGGAGAAGGGAGGAAGAGGAGGAGGAGGAGGAGGAGGAGGAGGGCCAATATAAACCTAAGGGGCATCGACGATGTTGGAATACACCCTCCCTCCAAGCTCCCTCTTCGTAGGCCCCTACATCGGTTCAGTTTTACTGAGGGAGCTGCCTCGTTGGAAGACAGCTGCTTGAAGACCCTGAAGCACGCCAAAACATTTGTTTTCGGGATTCCGACGCCACGAATCAACCTGACTGTTGCGTCTTGACGATCCTGAATCGTGCCAGAACGCCATTTCTGGGACTTGCACGCCGCGAATCAACATAAGTGTGCACCCTCGTAAGCCCGTCCTTCCGAACACAGTTTCCGGTACGTTGATCATGGGAATATGCGAAACTCTTGCAAGTTTAAACGCATGCGAGCGGCGCTAAGGCAAGAACCACATTTTGAAAACGACTCGCTCTCAGTCTGTGAAGCTCTTACATGTTTTTAAAACGATTTTGCGCGGCGCTCAGGCGAAAACCACATTCTGAAAAGGAACCGCCCTCAATCCGTGAAGCTCCTGCAATTGTTTAACAACGAATGTGCGCGGCGCTACGGCGAGAACCACAGATTGAGAACGACTCGTCCTCAACCCGTGAAGCTCTTATAATTTTGTAAGACGAATGTGCGCGGCGCTAATGCGAGAACCACATTTCGAAAACCATCCGCCCTCAATCCGTGAAACTCTTCCAAATGTTTAGAACACATGTGCGCGAGAGCCACATGTTGAAAACTACCTGCCCTCCATCTGTGAAACTGTTGCCAATCTTTAAACTTCAAAATCATAATTTGTAAGGAAGTCTCAAGCGAAACACCCTGCCCGCCCGAAAAACTGGCCTCGGGGTGCGACAGGGACAAGTTATTTATAACGAGAAAGAGTGGAGGAGGCGGAGGAGGAGGAGGAGGAGGAGGAGGAGGAGGAAAAGGAGGAGGCGGAGGAGGAGGAGGGGGAGGAGGGGAGGAGGAGGAGGGGAGGAAGGAGGGAGGAGGACCATGATGGGACCATTCCCCGTGCCCCCCAAGAGAAGCCCCCCGAAGGCGTCGGCCCCCTTGGGCGGCGGCCTCCGCCCGCGCGCGCTCCCGCTGCAGCGCGGCCGCCAGGCCGCATTGCTCCTCCCGAGGCGCGGCAGCGCCAGCGGGCGCGGGCTGCGGGGCGACCTGGAGGGAGCAGGAGGAGGAGGAGGAGGAGGAGGAGGAGGAAGAGGAGGAGGAGGAATGGTCGAGACCGAGACCGACCATATGGGCGACTTCGGCCCTGAGCCCAGAAACGGTTTCACCTCCTGGCCTTCCGCCACCTTCCGCCACCCCTCCGCCGGCTTCCGCCGGCGGAGGCGGCCTCGTTCTCCTCCCACCAACCTTCCGCCGCCTTCCGCCGCGGAAGAGATGGCAACTCCCTCGATCCTCCAAGGCGAGGCCTTTTTTTTGGACCCCCCATGGGCAGGAGCCCCCTCGTGCAAGGACGCTCGTATGGTCCCATGTGGGAGGCCGCTCGACGCCAAGGCAGGACTCCCCTCGAAATTCTGGCACGAGCTTGCCTCTGGACGGGCCTGGGGGTCGATCTGTCTAAATCACTAAGCGTTACAGTCGACCCGTATCATAAGGATGCGCGTTAAGGTTGCAGGGGCCTTGGAGGGCCATGTTCACTTTTTTCGAACGAGGTTGGCCAGCGAAAGCGGCCAAGGATGGACCGAGGAGGCAAGGATACAAGGGGCCCAGTGGCAAGGGTACCCTTGTGAAGATTGCCCTATCCCCACTATGCGGGCTGACTGTAGGTCGGGCGTGTCCTCCTGCAGGCGGATGTGGTAAGAAAGAGAAGTTCACTACTAATCAGAAATAGTCGAAAGAGTACGAACAATCGCCACCCGACTGCTTGTAAAAGACATAGAAGACGGTCCCGTTCGGCACCGCCTGATCCCCGGGCTTCGCCCGCTTCCGGCCGCGTGAGGCCCCGCCCGCTCCCGCCCCTTCTCTGTCAATGAAGGCTGTGCGCGTCCCGCGGAGCTTCTAGCGGAAGAGGCTCGCTCTCGCCCTGCAGATCAAAAAAAAACAAAATGTTGGTAAAAGACATAATGTTTGGGAAGAAAGAAGAAAAGTTCACAACTAATCAGAAATAATCAAAAGAGTACGAACAATCGCCACCCAACTGTTTGTAAACAACAATCTTAACTATTCCCTCAGAAGAGGGAGGTGCCCGACCCAAACTTCGCACCGCACACTGCGACCCCCGACGCGCGACGCGCGCAGCCCTCGTGCCGCTTCCC